TCCAACCTTCACAGCCATCCATTGCAACTGGGAAAACCATCGCCTTGACTAGACACACTTTTTTTTGGCAGGGTGATGTCTGCTCCTCCTATACCCATGTTTATATCTGCGTTTTACACAAAGTAGGACTAACCTCCGTGTGAACCAGCATAAGATCTTGCTAGGTGTGCCCGACTGGTTCTTGTGGCGCATTAATGAGCCTCCTGCCACTTTTACCCACAAGGGAGTCCATGTCACTTTATATGGATTTAGTTATTTGGGGGGGCAATGCATTTTGCCCCTTCTATGGACTCCTTCTGGCCTTTCCAGCCACTTGTTGCCAGCGCATTCTTGTTGTTTCCTGGTGGCCTTTATAGATTTCACACATACATGCTCTGCTCCATCACTTCCCAGCTTAATTATTCTCTTGGCATCTCAGCTATTCTGGAGTTGCTTTGCTGCTTCTGAGCTGCTTCTGAGCCTTGTTGCTGGGCCAACCACACAAGGAGCCCCCCACCACCACCACCCTGAGGTGAAATTAAGGAGAACTCTGCCTCTCTCTCTCCTTAGACCAAGGCTCTCCAACCTTGGGCACTTTAAGCCTGGTGGACTTCAACTCCCAGAATTGGCTGGGAAATTCTGGGAGTTGAAGTCCGCCAGGCTTAAAGAGCCCAAGGTTGGAGACCCCCTGCCTTAGAGACCACAATACAAAAAAGACGCTGTGACCCTAGAAAGAGTTCAGAGAAGGACAACGAAGATGATAAAAGATCTGGAGGCTCAATCTGGAGGCATGATGCAAAGATCCTGCTCTCTGGAAAAAGGTCTAATGCTGGAAAAAGTGGAAGGAAGGAGAAGAAGAGGACAACTACTGGTAGTATGTAGCAAGATGAAGGGACTCCTTTTGAGTAGTGAGGGGGACATTGTTGGAAAATTGGGAAGACCAGGTTAGGGGAAAATTACCAAGAAAAATATTGATGTGTTCGCTAAGTCAACACCAAGTTAACGGCACACAATCCATCCAAATCAGTCCTATGGTTTAGCCAAGACAACCAGATGGATGGTGAAATCACCAACAGCTCAGCCTGGGAGGAAGGCTAGGACATAGCATAACCGGATTGGAAGGGACCTTGGAGGCCTTCTAGTCCAACCTCTCTTCAAGCAGGAAACCCTATACCAGTGATGGCCAACCTTTTAGTGTTCAAACCAGAATGTGTGTACATGCGCTTGCTGGCCCAGCTGGTCTTTGAGCTTCTGGCATGCTCATCCGCACCGGTCAGCTGGCCTTCGCATGCACCGGAGCACCGAAGACCAGCTGGCCAGCGCATGTATGCCTGTTTTGGGGCTGTTTTCAGGCCATTTGGGGGGCATTTTCAGGCTGTTTTGGGGGCTGTTTTCTGGCCATTTTTGGCCGTTTTCCAGTGCTCTAGCACCTGCAAATACCAGCTCTGGAAACCAGAAGAGCAGCTGGCGACACAGCATGTGCCCACAGAGCAGGTTCTGCATGCCTTCTGTGGCATGTGTGCCAGAGATTCGCCATCACGGCCCTATATAATTCTGGACAAATGTTCAATCCTCTTTTTTGGAAGCTCCAGTGATGGAGCACCGACAACTTCTGAAGGTAAGCCATTCCACTGTTTTAACTGTTCTCACGGCCAGGAAAAACATCGGTGGAACAACTTACCTCCAGAAGTTACGGACAATTTAGATATCACTGGACATTCTACCTGGGGTCACCCATTCCTTGTTGAGACGGGTGGGGAGATCATGCTTACTACCATCGTAGACCACCCTCATCAAAGAATTACGGTGAGCAAAAATTGCATATCAAGCAAATGGAAAGAGGTATAATTCAAGGGTGGTGTGGTTAGATTTTTTTTTTTTTTTTTTGTATTGGAGAAGTAAATGCATTTTCGAAGACCAAAAAGATTCCATGAATGACACATTGGTTCAGACAACCTGGATTCACACCCTGGTTTGTTTGTTGAAGCTTAGCGTACCAAACATATGTTATCATGCCCAGATGGCCAAGTTAAGTAGGCAGGAAACCTGTTGGCTGCTACGCCGTGTGGGAATGGTGACCCGGAAAATTTATGATTGCAGTCACATGGGGAAGTGTCAGATATTAATCACACACACATCCCTCACAGCACAAGCACACAAGAAAAAAGTGCCATTCTTTTCGTTTCTCTGTCATGTGGATATTTGTATGAAAATGAAGGAACCATCACTATTTTGTATTATTAAATATTTACGTCAATTCGTTTTACCATCAACCCCCAAAGTCTATTATTGGCTCTTCTGCTCTCCATACACAATATTTGTACCCTATCATCACTTTCTCCTCCCTCTCTCCTCCCTCTCCCTACCTCCTTTCTTCTCTGTCATCCTTCCCTTCTCTACTTCCCCTTCCTCTCTCCTCTTTCCACTCCTTTCTCTCCTCCTCTTCCCCCTTCTGCCCTCTATCACTCTCTTCTTCCCCTTACTTCTCTCCTTCTCTCTCCTCTTTCCACTCCTTCTTTCTCTCCTCCTCTTTCCCCCTCTGCCCTCTCTCGTATCACTCTCTTCTTCCCCTTACTTCTCTCCTTCTCTCTCCCCTTTTCACTCCTTCTTTCTCTCCTCCTTTTCCTCCCTCTGCCCTCTCTCCTATCACTCTCTTCTTCCTCTTACCTCTCTCTTCTCTTCCATGGATGTTGTGATGATTTTTAAGGGCAAGGGTTAAACATAATGTCTTGTTTCTTTCAGTGGTGGTGTAATTTTGAATGAATACTAAATGAATACAGGTAGTTCTCAGCTTACAAAAGTTTATTAAGTGACCAAAGTTACAACATCACTGAAAAAAAGTGACTTAATACCTTTTTTCATACTTAACATGAGCCTTGGTGGCGTAGTGATTAGAATGCAGTACTGCAGGCTACTTCTGCTGACTACTAGCTGCCTGCAATTTGGCAGTTCAGTTCCCACCAGGCTCAAGTTGACTCAAGGTTTTTCACATTTAACTACACTTGCAGCCTCCCTGATCAAAATTCGGATGCTTGGCAATTGCCCCATGTTTGTGACGGTTCCAGGGTCCCAAGGTTACGCGATCCCCTTTTGAAAACCTTCTGCCAAAGCAAAGTCCATGGGGAAAGAAAGCGAGTTTCTCTTAACAACTGAGTTACTAAACTAACAAGTGCAGGGATTCACTTAACTGTACCAAGAAAGGTCATCAAATTGGGAAAACTCACTCAATAACTGCCTGACTTAGGAACGTAAATTGTGGGCTGAATTGCGGTTGTAAGTCAGAGATTACCCCTATCAACCTCTTTACATGAGTTAATTAAGTAGGAATCTTTTTGAAGGATTTGAAATGTTTCTTCCCAAAATTCTTTCCCCGTGAACTAATGTGCTACTTATGAAATCACAAAATTGCTTTCTATCCCTTGATTGTTTAGACCAGTGTTTCTCAACCTTGGCCACTTGAAGATGTCCGGACTTCAACTCCCAGAATTCCCCAGCCAGTGAATGTCCGGACATCTTCAAGTGGCCAAGGTTGAGAAACACTGGCTTAGACTTCTTCTCCATTTCATTTCTCAGCTTGCTCAAGTTTGCGGTGGTGAACAACCTCCAAACTGTGGCTCACTAGGTTTCTCATTAGCATATTAAAAAATTACTGTAAGATCCTTTGTTCCTATATTGAGGGTACTGTATTANTAAATAAATTAAATAAATTAAATAAATTAAATCAACAAACAAACAAATATTTCTGATGGCCTTTTTAGATGGATGTTTAAATCGGCTGCTCGGATGCAGGGAATTCGAGCTCTGGCATCGATCGGCAAACTGATTAATCATCCCATCCAATCGAATTAAAATAAACTCGGCATACCTTTGCCGACAGGAGTGGAAGAGCGTCCAATTAAACCTGGATTTTCAGTGACATGGAAAAAGCAACTAAACCATGGCTCAGCCACATATCATCCCAATGCCGTACACAGAATTAAGCTGCGCAAAACTCAGGTGTTCTCACATCTAACTAGCTGTGTTTATGAATGAGATTTGGCTAAAATAGCTTGCAATTTTCCCTTTTTTTTCCCCTCCCCATAACCTGCTTACCTTCTTCCTGCTTATTGCTAGGTCTGGCATAAAGAGCATTCAGTGGGAATCCTGGTTCTCCGGGCATCGGGAAATTGGTGATCCCTAAAGTATACATTTCTTTTTCCCCCTGCCCTTTGGAATTGCACTGAAAAGAAAATCAAAAATGAAAATCAAAACCAACTGCGGGTAAATTGTAACTCTGTAAAATAATCCCTTTTAAGGAGCAGGCTGTGTTTAGGGCGGGGGGAAAAAAATATGTCCCAATCATCTTACGATCTGCATTGTATTTTATTTATTTGGATTTCTGAGCTCATTTTTCTTTTTTTACTTTAAAAAAAAGGCCCTGCTTTTTATTTTAAAGCACCGTGAAGCCCCCCCAGGGCCCATCCCCCCCCCTTACCTTCTGCAACTTTTTCAAGCACTCCGAAATATAGAGAGTTATGTAGATCAAGGTTCGGTCAGCTTCATTCTGCAAAAACGAAAGAATTCAAAAAGGAACTTATTTCCTTTTTCCCTTTAATTTCCCTCCAAGAGGCTTCTTGGGGTGGGGGCACCTTTTGAGACCCCCCCCTCCCCCTCTTCTCTTACCTTGATTTCGTAATTTTTAAAGAACACGTTGGCTTTGAAATAGTAGATGGCCTCGTCAATTATGTCCATATCTTTTGCTGGTGAGAAAGAATGAAACCCATCATCTTTTGAGTCATCGTGAAAGAAAGGACATTTATAGCAATAGCCCTTAGACTTATATACCGCTTCACAGTCCTTCCTTCCTTCCTTCCTTCCTTCCTTCCTTCCTTCCTTCCTTCCTTCCTTCCTTCCTTC